GAAATCGGCACGGCGCACCCTAAATCATGTCACAAGTTGTGTGAGAATACCACGGCCCTGTTTGCTTGCCATCCTGCAAAACGCCCATCTCTCCGACAGTTGGGCTTTTACTAGTTGCAATCCAAGGGCAGCCAGAGCTTTTGATTTCGCAGGGGCTGCAGCCCTCTGTGTAATGTGCTGCAAAGCCCAAGTTTATTGAACCCGCCATGCGGGTGCCTCTAGAAGATGATCTGGAATCCTTGAGAGCACAGTGTCGACTCCCACGTACCACCCCTAAACCTGTAGAAACCCTAAACCCTAAGATCCTAAACCCTAGTACCCTATCACCCTAATACCTCAACAGCACTTCTTCTGTGCCCCGGAGTTTCCGGCTTCTGCTCCTGGGGAATTACAAATCTAATCGAAGCAGATATTGAAAACGCAATGGAACTTCTTGAAAGTTCAGCGCTTGCGGTTCAGGGGTTATGTAGGGATATACAGGGTTATCAACCCCAATAATGGAGAATCTGACGGAAAAGAAACAGACCACGAAATGGCCCCTTTTAAATGCGCATCTAGGGATATAGATGGCTTCAATTTTGATAAATCTAGTGGTAGCACTTGGAGGGTCATGGGGCTTTGTGGGTATACCTGCTGAGACTTCTACACCTTCTAAGCCATAACCCCACTCATCCTCATGCTTAATCTGCTTACTAAGTACCCCTGCCCGAAAACCCACGCCCTAAATGCTATAGTAGTTCTCATTTTCTCTTCTATTCCTTACTGACAAGTTATAAAGGAGCAGCTTTCAGCATGAGGGACACAGTCCCGATGTTCTTTAGACTACGGGCCGCACAATTTCCTGGGCTTGGGGTTTAGGGTTTAGGGGTTAGTTAGGGTTTAGTTAAGGGCTTCGGGTGTAGGGCTAAGGGCGGCATGTGTTCTTGTTGGTTCTGAGTATGCATCGGAGGAATGGATCTCCGCAGTAGCCCCTGTAGCATCCCCAGAAACACAGTAGCTTCCATTTTTACATGCATTCAATTCCTACGATCAACGAATGACATGACCCCGAGTAAAACCGAGTTTTAAATTCTGCGGTATTAGCCCAGAATCCCTTGCTCCGACCCCTAGACCCTAAACCCTAAACCCTTAAACCCCTAAAACCCTCAAACCCTAAACCCAAATCCCCGAACTTGCCTGCTTCACGGTGGCGTCTTTGGTCAACAGCTTCTCCTCACCCTTGACTTTCAAGACATTGGTGATGGCCTGCTGGAGACCTCCGCAACATGCGCGCGGATGTCTCAATACGCGGGGCCTTTTAGACGCCTTAGAGATATAGTCTAGGGGTTTCAAGATGATTTTAGAGTTTGATCTGGGAAGTATATGTGGATTCTGGCAAAAGCCTCTCATTCCATTTTTGCCAATCTAACTTGTTCTCAGGTCATAAGTTCCCTGCCACCTCTTCTACCGCTCAAAAGGACCAGGACAAATAGAGTCTCACTTGCAGCAACCCTAAACCGTACAATAGAAGTTTCCATGTTCTTTTCCATTATCCCTGTATAACCCCAAAATAACCCTAATATAACCCCTATATAACCCTATTCTACCATAGTACTTTCCATTTTCTTTTCCAATATCCCTATATGACCCCAATATGACACTAATATACTCGCAATATAGGTTATAATGGTTTTCATTTTCTTTTCCATCATCACTTTACATGCCCAAAGATAATATATCCTCCCTATATTACCCTATGTTATTACACGGTATTTGACGGGCATGATAGAGCCATCTAACCAGTCATCCCCCTTGTATCGGGGTAGTAGAGGGATAATGGAAAAGAAAATGGAAAGCACTATACTATAATAGGGTATATATTGGGGGTGTAGTAGGGAACAAGGGAATAGACATCTACTTACTGAATCCCTCTGCTGTTCCAAGTATAGGTCCTTCTTCCGAAAGTTTGGAAAGAAGAGGGTTTGGTTAACCCCAACGCCCAGACTAGGACCCTATAACTATCATATGAGTATGATAAAATCCTAATACCAAAGTCCTTGCGATGCCAAATATTACGCGCAAACAACTCCCGTGTCCATTTCATTTTCCGCCGTCCTTTCCATTTAATTCTCCGTCTACACTCCTCTTACTACTCCCATTATCCCTAACCCTGAACCCGACAACCCCCCCTCAGCAATTTCGCAATCGAGATTGGCTTGAACTCTATAAGCTGAATCCGATCCAATAGTTTCAGCTTGCAAGTGTGCGATTCGGGTGTGCCGGTAGCAGCTATCTAGTGCACAGACTTGAGTGATTACCAGTATCCTCCAGTAACATCTATGTCTGCTCCTCCTCCTCCTACGCCTACTCCTCTTCCTGCTGCTACAACTGCTCTCGTACTGTTACTGCTACGTCTATTTTCTCATGTTGAAATTCCCGAATGGCTCCTCAACTTCCCACTGCTGAGGGCGGCTCCATTCCGCAGATGTTCTGCGAGCTGTTTCAGGTCATCATCCTACCGAGTATCCCGTGTTCTGCTTGGGCAAATAGTTTTGGGGTAAGGCTTTAAGAGCCAGTGAGCTAGTTACCTCTGACTTCTTAAACACACAATCCGATCATGAGAGCACGATTGACATAACCAGATCAACGCTTCTCAACCGCGGACGGACCAAGGAGCTGGTTTCGGTTCTGATTCTGCGCCGCTAGCCTTACTCGAATGGTAGGACGCAAGCAGCAACAGTAGTGAAAACAGCATTAAGCAGGCACGGCGCAGAAGGAGCACAGGCAGCCTGGACAACAAGCATGGAGGTTCGTAGGGAATAAGGGAATATAGACCCTCATATAATCCCTATATACATATACATATATATATATATGTATGTATATATACATACTATATTCCCTCATTCCCTACTAGCCCCCAATGAGGAAACGTGGCGAACGACAGTAATTCCACAAGACCATGCAAGACCCATCTCGCAGGATCTGCCGTTGTGGAGTTTGGTCTTCAGGAGCTTTCCCTGCTGGTACCAAATACATAAATCTTTCATAATAAGGCTCATCTGGGAACCAAAGCTTGCACTGTTTCTGTTGCCGATGAGCCTTCGATTGTGTGCCTTGGATTGTGTCTTGGCGTTTTTAATTTCTGCTGCGACTCAAGCGCTTGCCATGAGACTTGTCTCTTGAATTGCCTGGTAGCAGTTGCAAGTCACTCGAAATACAACGTCCAAGGCCGCAGGGATAAGACAAAACCCAAACGGTAGAGACATGAACAGAATCACTCTGGGGCCCTGGTCTGCAAATCTTGCCTTTGGTACTTATTCCGTCTTGTGCTCTAGAGATTCTTGTTCAGTTTCGAATGCTTGTACGCCTTGTTTTTGTTTTACTCAATCCTCAATGCATCTGTACGCAAGAAGAAATAGTCGCGGCCTAAAGCTCTTGATTCCTCAGCTTGTACTGCTAGCAGTAGGAGTTGGATCAGCATCAACTGTTTATAGCAGCCTCCACAAGCTTGACTGCTCGAAATGGACATGCTGTACCCACTGTGGTGCTGTTAACAGCATTGCCTTGGTAGCCATAGGTCTTGGCAACCATCCCAACAGTCAAAAGATAGTAAGTAAGGGAGGGGTAGTATAGGATCTCATGTTCTTATCTCCTTGCGGCACTCCCAGTAGAATAGTTCATGCTGCTGGCCTGTCATGGTTGGATTACGCCAGACTCCACAAAAACACGGCATGCGTAAAAGTGGATCATTAACAGTCTCCGCGCGAATCTGTAGCATACAGTGACCGCATTAGTATAGCATGCTCACAGCTAAAGATCAACAACGGGAATTCTGTGTCTTTGGTTTGGCTTGCTTGCAGGATTTGAATGGCTCTTGTTGCCCTGAGCCCTATGAGCCTAAACCTCTACATCAATTCCGTTCCATTTTCAATGTTCTCCTCCATTTAACCCTTACATGTTCTCTTCCATTTGGTTCTCCACCGATACCCCAAACCCTGAACCCCAAACCCTAAACCCAAATTGTTATTACAATACTATCAATGCCGGCAGATCGCAGCATTCTCTCCTTCAAGGTCTTGGCCGCGTAATGCTTGGCCAGGTCCGGCTGTGCCTCGATCATATGAGCCATAGTCTCAACTCCTTGTGCGCCCCCCCCTCCCTCCAAAAAACTAACCCAAGTATCATAAGGTATAGGGTTTAGGGTCTAAACTCCTAGTATCCCCCAAAATGAAAACCCAAATGTTATAGGGTTTAGGGTCTCGGGTCCAAACTCTTAGCATCCCCCTTCATAACACCCATAATAGTCCCCTATACAACCCCCTTGAAGGGGTTAAGACTATAGCTCATATGCAGCTGTCTAAACATTCCAGGACAGGGACACTGGCTCACTATGTGTAGTAGGCACGGCAATCCGAGAATCCCCCCGGAAGATGCCAGAATGCTGAAGAAGAAGAGCAGCAAACAAGCTAGATGTAACACAACCTACATGCTGCATGGCGGATGCCTGCTTGAGATAATAGCAGGGTAGCCATCTAAGAATCTAAGCCGTATACGATCTCTAAAATGGTATGCGGAACTTTGAAGGCAAAGCGGGCGGGCACCGATGGGACACACTCTTGTGCGGATCCTACAAAGCACAAAAAACCTTTCTACTAGACTGGGTTACAAGCCCCTACATCTTCCAACGTTGCACGTCATTATCCCTTTTTTTGATCTTCCATGTGAGTCTACGTTGTTGGGATAGTATCCCTATATGCAGCCCTATCTAGGGCAAATACAGCTAGCAACTGCAATTCGTGAGAGCTGGAGCTAACTTCGCTGGTGCAGGCCTTACCAAGCTCGATGTCGATCAGATCTGTCATGGACTGGAACATGGGCCACTCCTCCCAATATCTCTGTTGCAACCTTGAAGACAAATTTAGTTGCATGTAGTCGCATTCACCCTCTGATCTAGTTACTGCTGCTAGATCCAAAGTGGCTGGAGCCCGTCCTTGTACATCTTCTGCAGCAAGGGCAGCTTCCCATCATCGATGTACTTCTGCAGCGCCAAGCCGTTGCCCAGCCAAACCGGGAGCATAAGTCGCGTCTGCGTCCAGGCGAAGATCCAAGGAATGGCCCGGAGGGTGTCAATGCCTCCATAGGCTCGTCTCTTGGCCGGCCTGCTGCCGATGTTCATCTGTCCCAACTCGGAGGTAGGAGTGTAATTGTGGAAGAAGCGGACAAAGATGTCGTTCTCGCTCTTGAAGACTGTCTTCTGGTACTCTGCCGCAGAGATGTCAGCCAGCTCTTGCATGGCTGCTCGGAACTCCGGGCTGGGGAGCGGAGGAGGCGTCACGGTGTGCC